ACGAGGTGGCGGGCGCCTGTAGTCCCAGCTACTTGGGAGGCTGAGGCAGGAGAATGGCGTAAAACCCAGGAGGCGGAGCTTGCAGTGAGCCGAGATCAGCCACTGCACTCCAGCCTGGGCGACAGAGCAAGACTTCGTCTCAAAAAAAAAAAAAAAAAAAAAAATGCAAAGGGCTCTAAAGCTCAGGGCCCTTGTTCACTAGAAGCAAGGAGACCCCTGACGCCTTCTTCCAAATACACTCTTTTGCCGTTATCTCTATTCCCGCATTCGTCATCCTTTGTTCAGTACAATAGGGATCCAGGTCGGTCACCGTTGCCGACAACCTTTGGCATTCCTTGGCTTGTAGACCCTTGGCTTGACTCTCTGCCTCTTTCGTCATGTGGTTTTCTTCCCTCTTGCCCCTTTACACAATCTTCCCTCTGTATCTTTCTCCTCTTCATATAAGGACACAGTGATATTGGATTAGGGACCACTCTCATGACCTTACCATAATGTAGTTATATCAGCAAAGACCCTATTTCTCGGCCAGGCACAGTGTCTCACGTCTGTAATCCCAGCACTTCGGGAGGCTGAGGCAGGTGAATCACTTGAGGTCAGGAGTTTGAGACCAGCCTGACCAACATGGAGAAACCCTGTCTCTACTAAAAATACAGGGCATGGTGGCACACACCTTTAATCCCATCTACTCAAGAGGCTGAGGCAGCAGAATCACTTGAACCTGGGAAGCAGAGTTTTGCAGTGAGCTGAGATGTCACCACTGCACTCCAGCCTGGGCAACAGAGTGAGACTCTATCTCAAAAAAAAAAAAAAAAGACCCTATTTCCCAATTTTAAAGGTCACATTCACAGATACCAGAGGTTAGGCATTCAGCAAGTCTTTTAGGGAGATGTAAATCAACCCACTAAACCGTGGATATCTTTATTTGCTCTTCATTTTACCTAAAATGTTTCTCATAATTTAGTATTATGTAAGATATTTCTGCAGGATCCCGGAAATTGCCACTTCTCAAATTAAGAAAGCTTTATTCTGTTCTCTGTTTACTAAGCATTTATTTTTTGTGCTTGTCTTCATTTTTAAATGAATAATGAGTGTTGAACAGATATATCTCGTAAGTGTAATGTAGAGAGGACAAAAACAAGTTGCGGAAGGATATAGACTATGTGGTAACATTCCTGTAAAGTTTCCAGATGTGCAAAACAAACCAACATAGGTCAGGCGCACTGGCTCACGCTTGTAATCCCAACACTTTGGGAGGCTGAGGCGGGTGGATCACCTGAGGTCAGAAGTTCAAGACCAGCCTGATCAATATGGTGAAACCCCGTCTCTACTAAAAATATAAAAATTAGCTGGGCGTGGTGGCGTATGCCTGTGGTCCCAGCTATACAAGAGGCTGAGACAGAAGAATTGCTTGAACCTGGGAGGCGGAGGTTGCAATGAGCCGAGATCGTACCACTGCACTCCAGCCTGGGTGACAGAGTGAGACTCCTTCCCCACCCCCCAAAAAAAATCCAAAATATTGTCCTTGGGTACATGCATAACTATTTTCAATAGGATAAACACCAAGTTTGGGAGGGCGGTTAACTTAGGGAGGGGAATAGGAGCAGGGTGGGGTACAAGGGATCTCTACTGTATTTGTTATGATTTGTTGTGTGATGATGTTTTACTTTTAAGGTGATCTGAAATACATGAAGATGTCAAAACTTGAAAAAGCTGAGTGGAAGGCATAAGTGTTTATATTTGTTTCTACATACCTCTTTGCATGCTTCGTAATAAAAAAGCAAAGCCAAAATTCACAGCGACAATGAATGTGCCACATGCCCTTGCAGTGGGCTGGCTCCCCTGGTTACAGCAATCCTCTCATCTCTGCAGAGAATGGAAACCAGAGTGGTCATGGCCTTGCAGCTGAATCTTGTGACTTTCACCTTCCCACATTCATCCAAACCTCTTGTCCCTGCTCTTCAGGTCCTTGTATGATGTGACCCCAGCTGACCCCCTAGCCCCAGATGATTGCCCCTGAATTAGTCTCAGCTTCTCCAACAAGTCCTGTTCCCTTATCCTCTATTCTTGCATGTGCTGATACCATATTGAGAACATTCTTTAATGTATTGATCTCCTCTGGAATAATTCTGAATCCTTCCTCAAGCATCACCTCCTCCAGGAAGCCCTCTCGGATCCTCCAGGCTCAGCCAGTGTCTCCAGTGGTCCTCACAGTCTCTTGTACTTCCCAGACTCATCATATTGTCTTCAAATTCCCTCGTTACATGTTCCCCGCCCACCTGAGAAACAGGCCTCCCTTCCTTGTCCTGGGCCAGGGATAGAGGGTAGAGGTCTGCTGCCTCCTTCTAGGACCTCTCTTCCCCTCTCAGTTACCCTGCAGCGGGGTCTGGGCACAGGACATTGATGGGCAACCTTCTGGCTTCCTTGCTAAGCTGGACAGCTCTGCCCCAGCTCACCAAGGCAGCTTCAGCCACAGGTGTATCCAGCAGAGCCCCACTTTCCTGCCCCCTTGCCTTTGCCCTGGCTGTGCCCTGTGCCTGGTGTGTCCTTCCTTTCTCGGTCCACAGTACACATGTTGTCGAAGCCACACGTCTCATGCTATCTCTTCCAGAAAACCTCCTCCGATTTCCCAAATGAACTAATCTATCTCCTCCATAAGGCCTGATGAAACACTGCCATCTAAATCCTTTCCCCAGAACACATTCCGATGGTGGCCTTGGACGGAGATTGTGCAATCCTTGTGGTTTTTTCCGATTTCCTCCCATTGAGCACCTGTCCCTGAAAGCCTCGTAATGAAGAGGGTGTGCCCTCCAAAAAGTTCTGCCCTACAGTTAAGCCTGCTGCTAAGTCAGCTTTCAGCGCCTGTTGACATGGCTCTGTTTCTGATGATGAAAGCAAGATGAGTCAAATGGTTTGGGAACAAGGGAACTTCTAGAAGGAAGAGTCTAGGAAGCTAAGTTTTGTTAACCCTTCAGTGTCTCCTAAGCATTGCTAACTTTTAATGTTTAACCCTTCCTCCTCCCTCTGTACCATAGACATGCATTCTGATGTGTTTGATACATGCCCTTACATTAGTTTTTTAAAGAAAATACGCTTACATTTGCCTTTCTTGTTGCTATAAATTTACGGGGTACAGGTGTAATTTTGTTGCATGCATAATTTCATAATAGTGAAGTCATATCCTTAATGTTTATACATACTTGGAGTGTGCGTGTGTGTGTGTGTGTGTGTGTGTGTGTGTAACTGAATCAAATTCTTTCTGCTTCTCCCAGCTCTAGGCTACTGAGAATCTGGACTGCTGCTGCCTGGACAATGAGTTTATTAGTGATTTTTTTCATGTGTATACTCACCACACTTTACTTACTCTTTGCCTGCTCAGGGGCTTGTAGGTTTCCCCCAACTCTGCTACTGTAAACAACACTGTGCTGAACATCCTTGTAAATGCCCTTGGGAAACCTCTAAAAAGTATCTCTTTTTAAAATATCAGAGAGTATATGCCACCTGTATTTCACTACATACTTCCAGACTGTCTTCCAAATTACTGAACTAATTCATACTTCCACCAGCAGTGAGTAACAGTTCCCACTTCCTCATATCTTCACCAACACTTAATACTATGCACCTTTTTAATGGTTGCTATTTTAATTGGTATAAGGTGGTACCTCATTATTTTTTCTACAATTAAGTAGACATTAAACTTTCCTGAAATATGTGCTCAATCTTTGGCTTCTTTTATGAATTGCCTTTTCATTCCCCTGGCCCATTTTTCTATTGATTTTTGTGTGTGGGTTTTTTTCTTTTTTTTTTTTTTTTCTTTTTGAGACAGTCTTGCTCTGTCACCCGGGTTGGAGTACAGTGGCACAATCTTGGCTCACTGCAACCTCCTCCTCCAGAGTTCAAGCGATTCTCCAGCCTCAGTCTCCTGAGTAGCTAGGATTATAAGTATGTCCCACCACACACCTGGCTAATTTTTGTATTTTTAGTAGAGATGAGGTTTCACCATGTTGGCCAGGCTGATCCTGAACTCCTGACCTCAAGTGATCCACCCGCACCAGCCTCCCAAAGTGCTGGGATTACAGGCATGAGCCACCATGCTCGACTGTCTTTTTTTTTTTTTTTTTTTAATTTGCAGAAGTATTTTTGCATATTCCTGGAATAAACTGCTTTTTTATTTTATAAGCAGCAATTATCTCCCCCCATCTGCTACTCAACTGTTAATTCTATCTACTCTGTCCTTGGTTTAACAGAGATTCTTAATTTTGATATAGTCCAATGTATCTTTTCTTCTCCTTTGCTATGGGATCAACTTCAAGTTTTTCTCAACTCTAGGCCACAAAGACAAGTGCCTACCTTTTCTTCAATTAGCCTAACAGTTTTGTCTTTTATCATTAGCTCTGAGATGCTGCTGAATTCCAGATTTGTATATGTTGTAATGGAGGAGTTTTTTCTCCATATACTGAACCAGTTTTCCCAAAATCTTGTTCTACATAATCCAATTGTGTTATATTCTTTCCATTTAATCTAGTTGCCTCTTTCTACACCAACACCACACTTTTTTTTTTAAATTAATGTTTTATCAAAATATGGTTTACAGTCTGGTAGGGCAAGTCTTCCTATATTAACTTTTTTCCCTAAAGTGACTTACAATTCATGAAAAATTATTCCTCCACATACATTTTAGAATAAGTTTGTTAAGGTCTCCAAAGAAATTGAGCTGGAATTTATATTTAGTTTGTAGTTAATTTGTAGGTTCAATTGGGAAGAATTGGTACCTTTATGGTTTTTTTTGTTTTTGTTTGCTTGTTTACTTTGAGATGGAGTCTCGCTCTGTCACCCAAGCTGGAGTGCAGTGGCGCAGTCTTGGCTCGCTGCAACCAACTAAAAATACAAAAATTAGCCAAGAATGGTGGCACACACCTGTAATCCCAGCTACTCGGGAGGCTGAGGCAAGAGAATTGCTTGAACCTGGGAGGCGGATGTTGCAGTGAGCCGAGATTGCACCACTGCACTCCAGCCTGGCAAACAGAGGGAGACTCTGTTCTCAAAAGAAAAAAAGAAAAAGAAAGTTGAGGCTTCCTGAAGCTACACACTACACACCCCACACCCCTATCCACCACCCACCGAGTGGTAAAGTCCTGCAGCTCAGCAGACCACCTCCTCACCAAAACCTGTGTTTGCTCTCTTCTGGTACCGAGGGACTGAATCAAGGTCAGGTTCAGACCCAGCCTCTGAGGAGGGGCCTGAACTGGCCTGGGGAGCTACACCTTGGGGGCTTTCTCAGGAGCCAGCAGAGAAGCCCTGGGCACTAGCCTGGGGATGGAGCTGCAGCGATGAGAACCGGGAGGCTGGAACTACCCCGCCTCACTCCCAGCGCGGCTCAGCCCAGCCCAGCCCAGAAAAGGCCCAACCCTGTGATTGGTCCTTGGGTACCTGTTGCCAGGAATTGAGGCCAAGAAAATGGGAGGGAAGGAAGGAAGGGAGTGAGTAGGTCCAGTGAGGACGGAGGTGAAATTTATATCTCTGCCAGGGACTAGGGGCCTGCACCGCCATGGACACCACCAGGTACAGCAAGTGGGGCGGCAGCTCGGAGGAGGTCCCTGGAGGTATGAGCAATGAGACTGCCTCATCCCTCAACCCCAGTGTCTGGGGTTTGATGGGGGAGGGGAGGGAAGAGCCAAGACGGGCCAGGGTCGTGGGTGCAGGAGACACACCACAGGCCACAGAGCCAGTTGGACCAGGGTCCAGTTCCCACTCTGCCACTTAGAAGCTGTGTGACCACAGGCAAGTTACTTAACTTCTCTGAATCTCAGCTTCCTGGGAGGAACCCAGGCCTCCAGGGCTCAGTCCTGGGGGACCCAGCATGCCGTCCTTGTTCTGCCAGGGCACTGGGGACGCCGGGTGCACTGGAGCGGGAGACCCCTCTTCTTGGCCCTGGCTGTCCTGGTCGCCACAGTCCTATGGGCTGTGATCCTGAGTATCCTATTGTCCAAGGGTGAGCGACCCTCAATGGGGAAGCGTTGCGTCCGACCCCCCTGGGGACACAAAACCCCCGTTTCGTGGCGCACCAACTGCGCCCTGGCGTCCTGCTCGCTGTCTGAGTGTGAGCAGAGTGTGTGTACATCTTCGGGCCGTGTGCACTCACGCGTGTGCACATGGCGTGCTCGTATGTGTGCGAGTCCCCGCGCGTTTGTCCGCCATCGACTTGTTTGCACATCGTGTGCGCTGTACGACTGCCGGCTCGCCCCGTGGTTCCGAGTCGGGGGACCCCGCACCCCACGGGCGAGGGGAGGATTCCCCAGTCCCTGGCCTTGCCTGCAGGAGCCTCTCTCCGCAGCCTTCACGGAGCGCGCGGCGTTGCTCGGCTGCCAGGACCTGCTGAGGACAAACGGTGCGTGCAGAGCCGGACGCCTGGGTCCCCGGGCCTTGCGGGGCAGGAGCGTCTGAGACCCCGGAGATGGAGTCTCGGGTGCGTGGGGGCCCTATGGTCCCTGAGGCTGGCCCCGGGGTGGGGAAGGGGGACCCTGAGTCCTCCCAAGTGACCCGGCGGGCATGCTTTTTGGGGCGGGGGTCGTTCCAGCCTCCAAGCAGACGGCCGCACTGGGTGCCCTGAAGGAGGAGATCCGAGTCTGCCGCAGCTGCTGTGAGGGGGCGCGGCCAAGGCGGTGGGCGCGCAGGGGCGGGGTCTTGTGGCCGGGATGGGAGGGGGGACGGGGGCGAGGCCTGCGGCGAGCTGGGCTGGACGTGCTGGTCTCCGAAGTCCCGCCCCATCCTCGCGGTCCTCGCCCCCCTGGTCCAGCAGCTCTCAGGCTCGCGGACGCAGACTCAGCTGCAGACCACGCGCTCGGAGCTAGGGAGGCGCAGGCAAAGCTGATGGAGCAGGAGAGCGCCCTGCGGGAACTGCGTGAGCGCGGTGAGAGCCCGCCGCGACGCCAGCCCTGAGTCCTGGCCGTGTGCCCCGACCCCGACCCCGTCCTGAGTGCTGACCGCTGACCCCGATCATGCACCCCGTCCTGACCCTGACGCTGCACTCTGACCTTGACTGCCACTCCTAGAGCCGGCCACACCTGGACCCTGCTCAGTTGTAACCATCCTTGACCCTGTGCCATCCTGGTCGCCGGCACCGAGGGTACAATGACTACGGACAGGGGTCCTGACCATTAGCTAGTCATGATCCTGCTCCTGACCTTGAGCCCAGCCAAAATCCCCATTCCCTTGACCCCGCAGTGACCCAGGTCTTGGCTGAAGCCGGCAGGGACCGCGAGGACGTCCGCCCTGGACTGTTCCTGGCGCTGGAGGCAGTGAGGCTGCAGAACAGTGAGGGTGACGGGGAAAGGGGGTAGCGGGAGGAAGGGGGTGGGAGGGTGTAAGTGGACCTGCCCGTGTGCCTCGCCGGCCCCCCTCTTTGACCTTGGCCTGGTCCTGTGGTTCCACCCCTGGGCCCTTGGGGCCAAACCCCTACCCCCTGCATCCTCTCGGTTTGCTCGACCTCTCTGACCCTCGCCACCCCGCAGCTTCCTGTGAGCCGTGTACCACGTCGTGGCTGCCCTTCGGGAGCTCCTGCTACTATTTCTCTGTGCCGAAGACCACGTGGGCAGAGGCGCAAGGCCACTGCGCCCATGCCAGCGCACGTCTGTAGGGGGCCTGGAGGAGCAGGTGTGCAGGAGGAGGGGGCGTTCACCCGAGGGGGCGTGGCCGGGCGGTGGGGCGGCGCGGGAGGGGGCAGGACTCTGCAGGCTCAGGTGTCTCCTCCTTCCTAGGACTTCCTGAGTCATCACACTAGCGCCCTTGAATACTGGATCGGCCGCAAGGCGGTGCAACACTTGTGCAAGGTTCAGGGCTCCTCGTGGGTGGACAGAGTCCCACTCAGCTTCAGGTAGGGGAAGGGCTCCTGGTGAAACCTGGGGGCCACAGGATAGACTCTAGAGGACATGCTTTGAGGCCGAGGCGGGCGGATCACCTGAGGTCAGGAGTTCAAGACCAGCATGTGAAACGTGACGAAACCCCGTCTCAACAAAAAAATATAAAAAATTAGCCAGGTGTGGTGGCGCACCAGCTAACCCAGGAGGCTGAGGCGCGAGAATCACTTGAACCTGGGAGGCAGAGATTGCAGTGAGCCAAAATCGCGCCACTGCACTCCAGACTGGCAGACCGAGACTCCGTCTCAAAAAAAAAAAAAAAAAAAAGACATGCCTTGGCCAGATCTCAGGGACCCGCTTGGCTGGGACTCCATTCTTAAGGATGGGCAGGCTAGACCCCAGGAAGTGTCCTTGGGTTAAATTCTGGGCGTTAGTAAGTTATATCCCAAGTGTACACTCAGGTTAGACACTTACGGTGTCTAGGGTAGACCCAAGCAATAAACAGGCTAGAGGCTGGGATGGAAGAGGGAAGTCCCGAGTCCATCCTCAGCCTAGATTCCCAGCAACACCCTCCACCATTCAACTGCTGCAGCCACTGGTTACAGGGGGAACCCAGTGAATCTTGGGGGTGCGAGGCCTGTGTCATGATTCTGGGCCTGGGGCTGTGGATGGACCCACCATGTGATGAGAAGGCTGGCCGGATCTGTGAGAAGAGGCATGGTGCTGAACCCGCCCAGTGCTCCAGAGCCATGCCCAGTGCCCAATGGGATGCCATGCACCATCGCGGCTCCTGGAACCCACCGGCAATGATTTTCTTTTCCCCATCCACCACTACAAGAACCAATCGGCCAGGCCCAGCCCTGTCCGGTGCCTGCACTCTGGGACCTCTGCTCTGACCTCATGGAGACCTAACCTAACCTTCACTGGCTCCAAAATCTCCATTTCTGGATCCCAGTGGTGTGACCCCACCTCTCCTCCTAGCCAAGACAGGCAACTGAGGAATGGAGCTATTTGGTTTTCCTGCACTTTCCTGCAAAGGGGAGAATGGTACTTCCTACAAAGCTCTCTTTGCAGCCTGGGGGAGCATCAATAAAGGTTTGAGAAGTGGATCTAGGCTCCTGGCTCTGGTGAGCTCTTCCTTCCTTCTTTCTTCCCTTCCTTTCCCTTCTCTTCCCTTCCCTTCCCTTCCCTTTCCTTCCCTCCCCTCCCCTCCCCTCCCTTCCTTTTCTTCCCTCCTTCTTTCCTTCCTTCCTTCCTTCTTTTGAGATGGAGTCTCACTCTGTCACCCAGGTTGGAGTGCAGTGGCACAATCTCAGCTCACTGCAACCTCCGCCTCACAGGTTCAAGGGATTCTCGTGCCTCAGCCTCCCAAGTAGCTGAGATTACAGGCATGTGTCACCATGCCTGGCTAACATTTTATTTTTTAGTAGAGACAGGGTTTCTTCATGTTGCCCAGGCTGGTTTCAAACTCCTGACCTCAAGTGATCCATCTGCCTCAGCCTCCCAAGTGGCTGGGATTAGAGGCATGCACAACCACACCTGGCTCATTTTTGTATTTTCTGTAGAGATGGGGTTTCACCATGTTGCCCATGCTGGTCTCAAACTCCTGGGCTCAATCGATCCACCCACCTCAGCCTCCCAAAGTGCTGGGATTACAGGTGTGAACCACCTACGCCCTGCCCTCTGGTGAGCTCTTCTAAGCTTTATCCCAGAGGCCCTGATATGAACCCTGTGAGTGACCCCGATCTCTCTAACTGACCTCATAGTCCTATGATGCTTCCAAACCCAGTGAGTTACCTGCACTAGGCCAGGAGGGCTTGAAAGTAGGGGCAGTTGCCCCTTCAGCACTGTTAAAATTCTCAGCCCCCTGACACAGAGTTTGGTTCAGAGGCTGCTGGGGACACAGGAATGGGTCAAACCCAATCCTTACCCCCGGGACCTCCACATTCTGGTCTGGCTGGGCACAGGAACAATGTGATTCGTGATTTAACAGAGGAAGGCATGGAACGGGTAGCTGATGGGCATGGGGGAGCCACTTTTTGTTGGGGTCCAGCCTCAACACTACCCATGGATACCCAAAGTCTGGTGGTGATGAAGGAATGAGAAAAGGCAAATTAAGATTTTAGGCTGGGCGTGGTGGCTCACACCTGTAATCCCAGCTCTTTGGGAGGCCGAGGTGGGTGGATCACGAGGTCAGGAGATCGAGACCATCCTGGCTAACACGGTGAAACCCTGTCTCTACTAAAAATACAAAAAAATTAGCTGGGCAGGGTGGCGGGCGCCTGTAGTCCCAGCTACTTGGGAGGCTGAGGCAGGAGAATGGCATGAACCCGGGAGGCGGAGGTTGCGGTGAGCCGAGATGGCGCCACTGCACTCCAGCCTGGGCAACAGAGGGAGATTCCGTCTCAAAAAAAAAAAAAAGATTTTTTAAAGCAGATCCAGGGGACCAGTTGCTAGAGTGAAGGCTGCAAAGGGCCCAGAGCTCTGGTTGCCTGACAATTTATTGAGTACAATCTTTTGATCTAAGAAGCAGCTGGTAGGGGGTGAAACGGTGAAGGAGGGGGAGCGTACGTCATTGGAAAGCTCTATAGCAGTGGCGGTTATATGAATTTCCTTTAAGCTAAAAGCGTATGTCTAACTACGAAGATTAACTTATCGGGCTGCAGCTGGTGGGGGCTGGTTTTATAGGGGCCAGGATGTCTGGTCACATTCCAGTGCTTCAAGGGAGTGTTTCAGCCCAGAGCGGGTCATGCTGTCTGACCTGGGAACTTAATGGCTTAGGAAAATGATTATCCTTAGGGACCTCTACGGTTTTCCAGAGGTGTCCTACTCAGGGCGACTGACTAAACTGGCACCCCATAAACATTTCCACCAGCACTTGCCCCCCTCCTTTTTTTTTATTAATAACCACCATTGCTATCGTGGCTTGCTTGCAGTGTCTGGCTTCTCTCCCGAGGCGTCTTCCTCACCTGTAGACTAAAAATAAACAGCATAGACAAACATAAATGCAAGCAAAGTTTGCAGCAGTTGATCCTCCAACAGTTTTAATCCATTTCAGAGGATTCAGGTCAGAGAGCCCATCAACGGCTCCATTAAGGGCATCAGCATCAGGTAAGAGAGTTAAGAGAGCTTGAGATGCCTCAAAAACTTGTTCCTTTAATTTTGCTATATCCAGTGTTACATTTTCCTCTTTTCTCTCTAAACGGCGTTTGACCTTATCCCAATGATGCACAGAGGCATTATAAGATTGAGGAGTAATGCAAAAATCAGAAGTATTCCAATCACCCTGCATTTATATTCTATGTTCCAAGTTCATAATTCGATCCCCCATCCACAGTACTGTTTGACAGAGATCGTTCATTTGATTAGCTAATTTTTGATCAATTTGTGTCTGCATATTCCAAAGCTTGGAAGAATTCTTTTACTACTAGTTAACATAATCAGCAGTTTGAACAGAAGAATGTAAAGCAACACCTGTGGTTGCGGCCGTGGTGGTAACAGCAATAATGCCCGTGATTATCGCTGTAAGAGTAAAAATAAATATCTTGGTTCTATTTAATATTCCCTTTAGAATTTCAGTTACTATGTGTATAGAAGGGGAGGCTTCCCAAGGTCTATTAAGGGAAACAGGTATATGAACTCCCTCTCGGGCTCTGATAAGCAAGATACTATTATTCTTATCAATTGTAGAATCAATGCAAGTGAAAAGACGACAGTCAAGACATGATGTAGTTTGAGAATCAGGTAGAATATTGATTTGTCCTACTACCAACATAAAAGGAGGTTTAACACAACCCTGTAATGGGGTTGTCCATTTGGAGGTCAAAGCTACAATAAATTGAAGTTTTTTACTATGTGTTTATGTTTTTTTGTTTGTTTGTTTGTTTGTTTGTTTGGGACAGAGTCTCACTCTGTCACCCAGGCTGGAGTGCAGTGGTGCGATCTCGGCTCACTGCAAGCTCCGCCTCCCGGGTTCACACCATTCTCCTGCCTCGGCCTCCCGAGTACCTGGGACTACAGGTGCCCGCCACTATGCCCGGCTAATTTTTTTTCTTTGTATATTTAGTAGAGATGGGGTTTCACCATGTTAGCCAGGATGGTCTCGATCTCCTGACCTCATGATCCGCCCGCCTCGGCCTCCCAAAGTGCTGGGATTACAGGCGTGAGCCACCGCGCCCAGCCGGGTTTATGTTTTATATTCTCCTGTCCAAATCTGTACTGGGGTTTGGACCGTCATTAATTTCCACAGTTCTGGGTGTTCTGGGCCTACTATTGGATCAATCATTTTAGGGTGTGGAGGAGCCATACCGCTGCCTTCCCAGAAGACAGGAAAGTTGGCTTTTATTCTATCCTTTTGGGTAGGTGCCTCTTCAGAATAGTCAACTAGGAAGCCACGCTCTTGATATCCCTTGTGCTGTCCAGTACAATTTACCGCAAGTTGCCCCTTAGGGGTCCAGTCAATGACGATTCCATAGGAGTTATTTTGCAGCACTATTTGCAATGCAATCTTCCCAGGTCAGCACCTCCGCTTTCTTAGACCGTACTGTCAATTGTTCTGGGCATTTTTTCTTTCTTGGTCTAAATTGATTAGTAAGAATCTTAGCTATATGGTAGGAATTTCCTGAGGATATGACTTTAGTTTTAGATTGAAAGCTCCTTCTACTAACTATATGAATAGAGGCCTCTGATCCATGATGTGTAGGGACATAAACCATCCAGCTTTGTTTGTCGTAATCTAAACATCCTGCTGCAGGCCCCAGACCTATAGGAGGAAAGCAATAACCAATGGACACATTTATTAACATTCCTTCCTCCTCTGGATGAATACGGCCTCGGTTATCAGTTGGTCCAGGCATCCAAATACTGTCATTAACATAAACCTCAACCGGGGGGGTTCCAACCAAGTGACAGGCCTAATTAAAGGCGGGAATGGGACATATATCCAATAGATATAATTTTGGGCTGCTGTAGCCCCAGGAAGGCTTACCGCCATAGCGATTACCGTAATTACAGCCACGATCCTGAGTGAATCCCAATACCTCCCCGTTTTTTGTTTTCTGTGTTAGGGTTTTTTGATTGCAGAGCGTAGGTATGTGCAGCCACAGGTTTGTCAGGCAAGGAGGTCACTGCTCTTATTCCAGCTTTGCTTCCTAGGATTAGTAAATAACAGAAGACAAACATGAGTATAGTTAGCAACATTTTTTTTTTTCCCAGTCAAAGAGTGACCTGTAGTGTTACTTGGCATCTTAGTTTACTATATGTTATTAATGAGGAACCCCACTGGGGGTATGTTAATTATTTTAGCCAAGCAGTTATGTTGTTAGAAGCTGAGAAGGCGCTGTTTGTCAAAGTAACAGGGCCGAAGAAAGACGGATTTAAGATATGAGCTTAATAGAGTGTAGTAGGTATAGGTAGTAGGAAAAGTGAGAGAATTAAAAATGAATGAATTAGTTGGCTTAGTCTTCTGCTTCTCCAGCATGATGTCTGGGGCCTGTGTTGTTTGCGGAAGCTGCATTGTTGAGGCTGCAGTTCCTGTAGGGTCTTTCTTAGGCTGGCTTGAATTTTTTCTTCTTTCCATGCTTTGATGAGGTCACAGTCTTCAGGCTGGTGCTGGAAATTCTAGGGGGTGGTACCTGTACCAAAAGACTTTTTCAATCTTTAAAGAGCAGGTTAGTGTTTTAAGAAAAACTTGTGGCCGGGCGCGGTGGCTCAAGCCTGTAATCCCAGCACTTTGGGAGGCCGAGATGGGTGGATCACGAGGTCAGGAGATCGAGACCATCCTGGCTAACACGGTGAAACCCCGTCTCTACTAAAAATACAAAAAATTAGCCGGGCGAGGTGGCGGGCGCCTGTAGTCCCAGCTACACGGGAGGCTGAGGCAGGAGAATGGCGTAAACCCGGGAGGCGGAGCTTGCAGTGAGCTGAGATCCGGCCACTGCACTCCAGCCCGGGCGACAGAGCGAGACTCCGTCTCAACAAAAAAAAAAAAAAAAAAGAAAAACTTGTGCTTTATTTTAATGTTTAGTGTATAGGAAAACTGGATGATACCTTTTTAACTTTAGCAAATACGTTTACACACAGAATTTTTTACAATTATCATTTTAAAACTTGCTTAGACCTTCAAAACAAACATTATAAACCTTTCTTGCATAAATTCCTTTTTATAACATTTTTCACGACTTTCACAGACAATCTTCAATGTGCCTTAACTTTCTTTTCTTTTTTTTTTTTTTTTTCGAGATGGAGTCTTGCTCTGTCACCTAGACTGGAGTGCAGTGGCCCGGTCTTGGCTCACTGCAAGCTCCGCCTCCCCGGTTCACGCCATTCTCCTGCCTCAGCCTCCCGAGTAGCTGGACTACAGGCGCCCGCCACCACGCCCGGCTAATTTTTTGTATTTTTAGTAGAGACGGGGTTTCACCACGTTAGCCAGGATGGTCTCGATCTCCTGACCTCGTGATCTGCCCGCCTTGGCCTCCCAAAGTGCTGGGATTACAGGCGTAAGTCACTGTGCCCGGCCTCTCCCCTCATTATTGAGAAGAGATTAGACATAGCATTAGTAGGAATTCCTAAAGTGGGCCAAATCCAATTAATATCTCCTAACAATTTTTGAAAATCATTTAAGGTTTGTAAAGAATCTTTTCTAATTTGAACCTTTTGAGGCTTAATGGCTCTCTCCTGTACTTGCATTCCCAAATACTGAAAAGGAGTGGTTGATTGAATTTTGTTAGGTGCTATAAGCAATCCAGTGTTTGTAATTGCCTTTTGCAAAGATGAATAACATTGAATACGCTGGTCTCTATTTTTTGCTGCACGGATCTGGAAATTGATCTCTAACAGGCTGGATAGTTCTGCCTACCAAAGTTTGACAAATTGTGGGACTGTTTAACATACCCTGGGGTAAAACCTTCCAATGATATCTGGCTGCAGGTTCTTTATTATTAACGGCAGGAATGGTAAAGGCAAATTTTTCGAAATCTGCCTCTGCTAAAGGAATTGTAAAAAAACAAACAAACAAACAAAAAAACCCAAAAAAACACAAGTCTTTTAAATCTGTAATAACAAGCGGCCAATCTTTAGGGATTATAATGGGGGATGGGATGGGAGCCCTGGTTGTAAAGCTCCCGGCGGTTGAATGACAGCGTTGACC